TTTTTGTAGATGACTCACTCATCTTTTGTAAAGCCAGCACTCAACAGGCCAATGAAATTATGAAGATCTTTAAAACGTATGAAGAGGCATCAGGTCAGCTGATTAATCTAGATAAATCAGCTGTTTTCTTCAGGAAAATCATCTCTCTGGAGCAAAGGAAGGAAGTATGTAGTGTTCTAGGTGGAATGGCAGAAATGACAGAAGGGAAGTATCTAGGCTTTCTAATGGTGATAACAAGAACAAAAGATCAAGTGTTTGGCTTCATTAGAGAAAACACAAGAAGGAAGCTTCAGTGTTGGAAAAACAAGTTGCTAAGTAGTGCAGGCAAGGAGGTAATGCTGAAGGCTGTCTCTATGGCAATGCCTACTTATGCCATGTCTTGCTTTAAACTGCCAAGGAAACTGTGCAAAGACATCACTGCATCAATGGCCAACTACTGGTGGGGAGAAACAGATGGGAAAAGCAAGTTACACTGGTTGTCTTGGAAAAAACTGGCTCTGGATAGACCTGAAGGGGGCTCGGGATTCAAGGATATAGAGGCTTTCAACAAGGCTTTGTTGGGGAAACAGATATAGAGGATATTAACCAAGCCAAACCTTCTTATCAGTAAAGTTTTTAGAGCTACGTATTTCCCCAAAGATTCCATATTTAGGTGTAAAGTTCAAAAGAATGCTTCTTGGATTTGGCAAGGACTTTTAGGAGTCAGAAGCTTCATAGAAAAAGGTGTAATCAGGAAGATTGAGAATGTAAGAAGCACAAACATCTGGGAGCATAAATAGATCCCAGGAACACCCGCTAGTAAGCCTACTACCCCAAGACCTTGTAACAATTCAATGAGGATGGTGTAGGAGCTTATCAGTCATAAGAGTTGGGATAGAAACACCATTTTCAGAACTTTTAACCAAAACGATGCAGAAAGGATCTTGAGAATTCCTATAAGTCTAATAGGCAGGAAGGATAGTTATTTTTGGTAACATAATGGGGGAGGTTGTTATTTTGTCAAATCTGGATACAAATTTCTCATGAAGGAAAGGGACAGTTCTGAGAAGGCAAAATCAGAAGAAGCTGGTCCAAGCATAAGGGAAGGAAGTCAGCAACTGAAGCAGATGTGGAATACTCTTTGGAAGCTAAACATAAAACATAAGATTAAGCTGTTTATATGGAAGTGCATTACAGGGGCATTGCCAGTTAGAGAAGCAATTTTTAGAAGGATAGAGATGGGAGATCCAGTATGTAGAGCCTGTGGGGAGTGCCAGGAGATAGTGGAACATCTTTTATTAAGCTGTCCAAGTATCTTGGATATATGGAAGGTGGCCTCAATTCAATGGGATGGAGCTAGAGATCAGTAAGGAGAATTTAAACGATGGTGGTGCAAAATATCAGAGGCAAAGACAAGACCAGAAGAAGCACAATATATTAGACTGATTGCAAACATTTTGTGGCTAGTGTGGAAAGAAAGAAACAAACAGGCTTTCGAAGGCCAAAGCATAAGTCCACCAGTAAAGACAATGAACAAGGCTTAGAATGAGTGGTTGGAACAAGAGGAACTAAGGAAAACCAAGGATAGAATGAGCACAGAAGAAACAACTTCTACTCAGACAGTGTATCATCAGGAGAATGAAGATGAGGAGTCCATAGTACTTGAAGTGAATTCAACAAGTCAATAAAGGCAACTGTCATTTGGAATTGGAGTCATAGCTAAGACATATTCGCAAACAAGGATTGCAGAATGGGCACTAAAGGAGAGAACACTTGGAACCAAGCTCCTTGATGATGCAGTAGCAGTTAAACTGGTCTTGTGTAAAGTTATGGAGCAACACTAGGACAAAATCAAAATTTTGTCCCAAAACAAAGAGTTACTGAGACAGCTAAAGAATCCGAGCTGCCCTGACAGTTGTTTAACAAATCTCTGATTGATGACATTATTGATTACAGAAGATGTTTCGCATGTGCTCTTTTGAGCTGGCTAGTGAAGGCAATATGACAAGATGTAAAAGTTTAAGTTCCTATGCCTTAGGCATTTTTGTGGATGAGGAATGGTATTTTCCTCAATGCAATTGAGCACTAGTTGTAAAGTTTCTCGAGCCTTTGCTCGCACATGTACATTTCTTTAGTCAATAGAAAAATTTTATCGTTTCGTCAAAAAAAAAAAGATAGTTGTTCAGTTTGGGCCTCCATTGCAGGGAAAACTAATTATTGTCCGTGAATGTGTGAAGAGAGAGAGAGAGAGAGGATCTAGATGTTACATTACAAGCTAGTGTTTTTTCTGCTTTCCAACGCTAAAGCATGTCACAGGCGATAATGGGGAGTTTGTAGTGCTATCTGAGGATGGCATTAGGACGACGAAACTTGCTGTGGTACTACGTGCTAGTATTATGTCATTAGGCAAATCAATAGCTTTTGTTCTAGCAAGGAAATGGGGCAGGATTACCACCTCAATCGTGACTGTAAAATAGCTTATCCAATGCCCAAAAAGGTTGTCTTGCTTTCTTCAACTTAACAGCTACATGCATTCTAAGAAAATCAGCAAAAAGATTACCTCAATTTGAATTTGAAGATAAAGCAGTCTAATAGCCTGTTCCCATTGAAAAGAAAATGATGAACAATTCTGGCCGTTCAATTCTGTCTCCAATCACAACATTAATCTGCTCAATAAACGTGTTCGTTTGTACAGTCGACACTTCAATATTGCCATGCTAGGTTCCTAATGAATGAAAGTTGATCCCTCCAAAGCCTGCTCCTGATAAAGTAACAAAAGACTTGATCAATAATTCCAAAGACAGATAGAGCAAGGTTGTGATTTATGGTATCAAATGTCACTTTTTCAGTGTTGAAAATTTCCTTACAATCTATGCTCACTTATCTCCTGTATATAGAGTGTTGCAAATTCTAAGCATTTCATCTATGGCTAGCCCGGGGAACGTAATGCTACTACTAGTGTCAATAATTTCATGGCTAGCAGGTGGTACAATCAAGACTTCATAAACTAATAAACTCCATATGGTTTTCTGATTTGAATGTTAGAAAACTTCTGCCGAATATTATTTATTGAGCAGCTTAGCTGTATAATGAAGAACTAGTACTGTTACACAATAATAATGTTGCGGAGCATGAGCCCCTTTCAACTACAACATTGTAAGTACAATGTGGTGAACCACAAACTACAGCCTGCCCAGATCCTTCAGTGTATATCAACTCGGATGGCCCTCATTTTACCGAAGCGGCCAATAGATGGATTGCCTTGGCTTTATTGAAAGGGCCATACCTTTTTTTTTTTCGCGCTTAGTGGTATTTCAGCTTTTCGGTCAGACTAATCCCCTAAGTCTATGTAGAATCTTGTCCTAAGGATATACAGTGAGGTAGCACACGGGAATCAATCATATGACCTGCCGGTAAAGATTAGGCTACGGAACCAGTCCGACTAGCCGTGGAGATATTGAAAGGGCCATAAACTACACTAAAGATTGATGTCTGCTACATATCAAATGTTGCGAGCTTGTATGTAGCTAGCGGTTAGGATAAAACACAGTGGACATTTGATCTATTGGCAACAAATTAGGAAAAGGCTTGTTGTTGTCCATGCAGAAAAAGTGGAACCTTCCAACTCATATGTATCGAATTACCTATTCGTATTCTTGAAGAAATTCAATGTCAAGCATATGTGCTAAGCAATATTATTGTGTAGTGTCTTGTACTACTATTGAGTAGACCTTCCCTTAATATAGATTAGAATAAGAGTAAAAGTAAATTTTACGATTGACCAAAGAAAAAAAGATAAATGAAAGGTGAAGTTGATGGGAAATATTTCCTCATTTACACTAAAGAATTAACACGTGTTCACTAATTACTTCAAAAACAAAAAATGTATATTCACTGGCATCATCAGTTATTTACCGTCTAAATTACAAACATAAACAATAAAAAAATGTTTTAAAACCTACAATTGCGATGCTAATATCTTAACTCGACTCTTATACAACGCACAACATTATTTGTTTTCTTTAGAAATAAGGAAGGCGGTATAGAAGTCGTAACTTTGTCATATGACAACAAAATAAATGGTCCTAAATGTATGCTTTTTGCCTCAATGTGCAAGTTGTAACTTTGCCCTTATTTTAGACCGTATATAGTATATTATAGTATACAATGTTTTCTTGAAGTGGCGATTATTTTGGTTTTAATATGTCATTTAGATCTACATAATAGGAAACAATTGGGAAGACTCAAAAAAAAAAAAAAAGAGAGAAAAAGAATCCAAGAGGTCATTTTGATACAATTGGAAGTATGATGGCCAATTGAGAATCGATCATAAATGGGGTGGTTTTGTCGTATAATTGAGATTGGTTTAGGGGACTAATGTAAAATTAGAAGCTTATGATGGAGGAATGGCACAACTAGTCCATACCAGTGTGTAACTTGAAATATTTATTAGTTTAATTCAAAATGATATGTTAAAAACGTAACATTGATCTCAATACTATTTTTAGCTAATCCTCTTTTGGCCTCAAAACATCATTACCATGTCACATGCTCATAAATTGAATGGCAATCACGGTTAACGATGAAATCATAATATTTCAAATAGAATTATATGTCCATTATATTTATTTTGAAAATTCAATTTCAATTTTCAAAAATAAAACACACATAAGATGCGTTTCTTGTTTGGATAAAGAGTTCCATATTTACCCTTTTGTCCTTAAGACATTTTCACATATCTCATCTCAAGTTGTGTTGGCATAACCTATTCATGCAAAAAGTGATGTAAAATAAAATATAGGACCAAACTGCAAAGTTCAACTCCGTTAGAGAGTGGAATATATCATCTGAAATGTGGGGGACAAAAACCTATAAATTGCAAACGTAAGGACCATTCGGGCAATTCCCTAAAAAAGATGTTATACCGCCACTTTATACCGAAAATACCCCAGCCTCCTGCGTATAAAAGCCGTACCACTTCAAATAATTCAAACCGCCTCTCACACACACACTAGCACTCTCTGACTCCTCCTCCTCGTCGTCGGAAGCTCTCAACCTTCTTTGAATTCAGGTCTCTCTCTCTCACGCACACACGCACAACACACTCGCATATGAATGTATGTGGATTTTGTTGTAATATCTGCTGTTAGGATAATCACTGGATTAAGTTTCTTTCTAGTTTCATCTCAAAGCCAGGTTTATGTCGTAATTTTGTAGAATTATGTTAAAAATCTCGTAATTTGACTTTAATTATCGTCATTTATCACACGAGCTCGAGCTTTCGCTCCTCAAATTCATCACTTTATCGTCAGTTTGATTCAACATTGCTGCGTATCTATAAATTCTACGTTTTTTGTACATCGAGCAATTTAATAGGAAATGCAGTTATACAACTATCCGGTTGTTATTATTTGTTTTCTGAGATGTGTTAACTTGAATAATTGGAAATATAGTTGTTTTGCGGATAATAGTTTTGTGTATCTGTTTGTTTTTATTGTTTTTCCCCCTAATTTTAAGAACTTTTAACTGAGCCGCTTTATACCTGTTTTGTGATTAATGATACTTAAACAACCTGATTAGGTTTTTAAAGTATTAGTAATCACTTTTGAAACTTTTTTATAGAGTTTGGTTTGATTAAAAAAGCATTTTCTTGACGTCAGCAGCGTGGAAGTTAGGCTTAAATGTAGCAATACTCAATTCTAACCTTGTTTTGGCAGTAAGAAAGCAGTTATTCAGCCTTAGTTCCCTTAGTGTTGACCAGCTATTGAAAAGTGGGAGGCATGGCAAAACTTCTAGGCACTAAAATAAAACAAAAAACAGTTTCTGTATTTCTTTCAACAATGGCGTCCTAAGCTCCATGTCCTGTGTGTTGTTTAGTCTAATATAAAGGAGGAATGGTGTGTAGAGGTTTAAAATGAGTATTTCTTATGCCTTATGGCATCGTGATTGATTCGACGAAGATCGCATGTAGTCAGGACAATAATTCTGATGCCATGTCTATTATTATGATTGCCATAGAAGTGCTTTCTCTTGGCTTTGGCAAGAGATTCACAGCCTATGGGAGCTAGAAAGGGGAAGAATAACATTTCCAAACTTGATAATATGTTTGCAAGTTTTTACTAAATTCTCTGTGTGATGTGTCTTTTGGATTCGAAGTACTATTCTAGGCAGATGTTTCGAGTCCAGATATCCGTCATTAGATATCTACTGGAGAAATTATCATTTCCTTAACATTGACAGAAGATTACAACAAAGAATCCTGCAGCTGATTGTCTGTAGTTGGGATTCCTGCAGATATCATAGTGATAACTTATATCACAAATAGTGATTGGGAAAGGCTATGAAAGATTTTCATGATGTACAACGTTGCTTCTTGTGATGGTAGAATTTTAAGTTCTCTGACTCACAGATGCAAGTAGTTTGTGTTGTATCTCATTTCTCTGGAGGTTTGTTTCTGCAGAATGGATTAATCATTTATAGTCATGATAAAATATTCTTTATTTATCAGCATTTGGTGGACTATGAATTTGCCTCTATACTTTTTGTCTGTAAACATGTATCAACAGGATGGCTAATTCTTACAAATTCACAATACATACTCTTTTTAATGCTTGCAGAATTGAATTGAAAGATAAATCTGTTCTTAAATATGGTGGAATCCCAGAAGGAAGATTCTTCATCTGTCAACTCAAAACAGAAAAAGTCATTGCTAGGTATCCTCTTCAAAATCTGTTTCTGAAGAGTTTTCAGCTCATTTTTTATCTCTATTTTATTATTATTATTATTATTTTTTCATGAATTATTGTTTTTCTAGTTAAAGATAGATGCCATGAAGACCAGACTTCATTGATGGGTTGCCAAACTTTTGCAGCTTTCTTCTCAAAGTATTTGGTTTGAAAGCTGTAGAAAGCCATTTTCAATAGAATAATTTGTGCAAAATAGATATAAAGTATCAAAATTAAGTGAGATAGTTGAAATAACTAAAAGATAAGTTGATAGCAAACTTTGGGCTGGACTAATTACCAGACCACCAGTAGCTAGCTTCTTAAGTATGAAAATTATTCTTCTTCTTGTTTGTTTAGTATCTCTTGTTGGACCAAAATAATCTGTGGTTTAATCTTAGTTGTTCCATATAAGAAAGTAATTTTGTTACTTCTTGTCAGATTTGGACTTTGGGAAGGATGACTTTCTGACTTCCTGGAAGTCAACGTCTATAACTGAAGATGATTCTATGAATTTGGATTTTGGGCCTGTTTCAAAAGGCAAGAAGAATGCATTCAACTTTGCCAAAATGTAAGATAGCACAAATACTTGTATTTCTCTATGTGACTTTTGTTTAGAACATTGGCCATAGAGTACAGTTTTGCTGTCAGAAAGACCTGATGGTTTTCTGCAAGGGTTTCCGGACTCCCACTAAATAGAACTACTGCTGCATTTTGCAATAAATTGATTTGACATTGCTAATACTCCAGGGATGTGGATTTCAATCTTGATGTCGATTTTGGAAAACTCCCATCCTTCAACTTAGACATTCCAGACATTGATATTTCTTCACCGGTTAAAAAGGATGGCAAATCCAAGGGAAGATCCAATGAGGAGTCTGCAAGTGGAAATACTCAAGGAAAAGCAGATCGCTCTGAATTTACATTTGATTTTGGCGAGTAAGTATGCATACAATTCCAGGGTTTGTCTCTTTTATTTATTCACTTTCCTGCATTTTTCTATTTATGATTCATGCTGCACTGCAAATCTTTACATTCATCCTTAATTTGGGTAACTGTTCAGCACATTATGTGTCCAGTCATCACTTTCAATGCTTGCTTTCAGATTGGATGGTTTCAATTTCAAGCCAAGCTCAAAGAAAGACGATCCAAAAGTCAATAAAGGTGAAAATGAGGAAGATTCTTTGAACAGAAGAGATTCTCAGAAATCTGGGGACTGCCTGGCTGAAGATCTCGATGCACATGCAGACAGAAAATTCAGCAATCTGCCAGCATCAGGGGATTTGATTACTTCGAACCTTGACTCTGATGTTGGTAGTGGTGCCAGTCCTGATACATTGAATGAGAATTTCCTTTCTGAGTCTGGAACCCATGATGATGGTTTTCCAAACTCCAAGGCTGCAATAGATGAAGTTGCATCTCCTGAAGAAATGGCCACACTTAAGAAGACAACATCCACCAGTGAGAAAGAATCAAACTGCCAACTAGACAAGTCAGCTTCTCCAATTACTGATCAAACCATACAGCATGAAGCAGTTGATACAGTACTCAGAAGTGAGTCAGGTCAAGATACTCTCTTGAAAACACAAGAGGAAGTTAGTCCCAGGGATGCAAGCGTAAGTAATCAGGTTGGGGAACAAAGTCTACAGCATTTTATAGCTGATTCGAGTTCTAAAGTCTTGTTTCTAATTAATCATTTCTGCAGCATATTGCTAGCTTTGAGAAAGACAATGGGGAGAGCGAAGTTTGTACTAATAATCATGCTCATATTGCCAATAAAGAGGGAGCTGAGCCTGCTCTGGGTGGAACTTATGTCGAACCAATTTTATCAACTGATGCCTCAAAAGACTCTATCACTCATAGTCAAATGAATGTGAAGAACAAGGACAGCTTGGAGCATTCTACAAGTTCATTAGAGAGGTTAGGATTTTGCAACCTTTGCATGTCCTGTGTGCAAAAGTGGCACAAGAAACCACAGATTCTACAATATCTGGTGGTAAATGATTCTGTTAATTAAAGCAGAGCATCACTGAGTGTACAATTACCTTTTCTTAACATTGGTGGTGCTAACCTATGTAGATATTCACTTGTTTTGTCAATTAAGGACAGAATTTTATTGGCCAATGTTAATCTTAGCTGGTCCAATGGTTTCTTTATGTGGTGCAGTAGAGCTACAAATAATAATATGATGCCAGAGAAAGAAAGGGAGGTGGTTATTAGGTCAAAATATTTTAAGCAACGAGACAATGCTGATTCTCGGTTTGAGAATGCTTCACATCAGACAAAGCTTTCGTCAGTGCATGGGAGATTAATTGGCACCGGAGAACCATGTCCTCCGGATGAAAGGTCAGCGATGTTTTCTGAACATTATGATTGAAAATGGTTCTGAAATTTACACTTTTCATCTGATAATTTTTAGCAGGAATTGCAACTCCATAGAGTCTAAAATTGATAACATGGTAGCTGGTGTTTCCCCATCAAGTTCTGAAGTACTGACCAGGAAGGAACATTCTCATATAGGAAGTCAGGAGAACTCTAAATGTCTTAACACAAATAGGTGATGCTTTTCTACTTAGACCCCCACAAATGACTTGAGTTTTATGCCTTTATCTGAAACATTCATTAGGTGGAATTCAAGACTACTCGACCAGGAAGTGAATAAACGAATACCTTCATCCAGAGGAGGTGAAAAGAATGTTAAAACTCTAGATTCATTCAGGTGTGGCATCTGTTTCTATGGTTAGAAATATATTCTGTTGGCTTTTCAAATTTTTTTCTCAGAGAAATGAGAATTTTGTAATCTTCAAATCTGAGCATCCTTGCACATTCTTTTCCTGTCACATAGATGCCTGTCTATTTGATGATAAGTACTGCCCTCTGTAGATTCTTAAGAATTTCTTGAGTTTCTTGGTTTTCACATCTGAAAAATCACAGCTGTTGAACTGTGAGTATTCACTTCTAACTCTTACGTGTGATTTATGATATAGCTTGTGTATTATGCTGCCTTTCTTTCACAAAATCAATTGAAATAATGCGTAGAACTGCAATCAATCATGGCAAATATTGTATACCACTGTTTAAGTATATTGGCCTGATGCCTGCAGCTTACGTGTTAAACCTTCGAGTGGAATGACAAAGAAACCAGAATCACAAAATTCTGCAAACCCAGCAAGTTTGGCCGTGAATTTGGAAACTAGTCAGATTAGGAAAGACGCAGCTGCGGAAGGAGATAAAGTCTCTTCTTCTAAAGCTATTAAGCAGATGCCTGCTCTTTCTACCCTGACAATTAAATCCACATCTCAGAGTCCTGCAAAAGCAGCAAGTTTGCCCATGAATGTGGAAGCTAGTCATTCTACGAAAGGCATAGCCACTGAAGGAGACAAAGTCTCCTCTTCTAATGCTATAAAGCAGATGGCTACTAGTTCTGGCCTCACAATTTTAAGGTAGTATTTTCCTGTGATATTTTACAAAGTTCTTTATGAATGTACTTATTATTCATTAATGTGGTATTGACATAGAACTTCTGGAGCAAACCTTGGTTCATCGAAGTCTGCAGCCCAGAAAGGAATTGCAGTTTCAGGAGATATGCGGCAAAATAGATTTTTAGCTGGAAGCACACCATCCCAGACTCCCAAAGTTGTTGAAATGAAGAACCAAGCACCAGCCATCCCTTCTCTTAAGCGAAAAATAGCTGAGGTTTGTCTTTCCATATTTTTGCTTTTGACATTGAGGTTTCTTCAAATCAGTAAAACTGCTATGGCATTACAATAAATTACTTTGCAGCAAGCTAATTTACCTTGGGCAATCATTGCTCATGTCAATGTTTATTTACAGGCTTCTAGTGCAGATGTGATCTTAAATCCATCAAAGCGTCTCTCAGCATCACCTAGCAATGAGTTTGTCTTTATTAATGGCTATATACTTGAATTTGTTTTCCTGATTTATCCTTGTCACCATGCATGATTTTCAATGAAATCTGCAGAGATTCGGCAGAAATAGGAAAGCTTGTTGATGGAGAGGTGATATGTTAAACTAATAAATTTGCATTTATAAGATGGTGTTGTAAACATACAGCCTCATGCAGACATGATAGATTTAACACGTAGTGTTACTTGGTTTACATTTCAACAGGTACGTGGAAATGGGAATGTTTCGGATGGGAAGAGCATGACTGTGTACAAAAATCCACAAACTTCCAGAGTAGATGTGCCTGGGGACATGAGTGGACTAGATGCTACCTTCTCTGTAGAAAGTGAAATCAACATTGAAAAGGCGGATGCTTGTGCTAAAGGGCTTGAAGATGTAAGTACAAGTTTAATTCCTTTAAGCTGCTTTTGTTATGATGAAATATGCATGTGTAAGGTTGACCTTGTTGGGTACTTATTTTCTTCCGGCCTTTTAAACTGATTTAGTTGCGGCAACTTTGTAAACTTAAGGTTTTGCTCTTTCACTTGTAACATTACTCACTCCTCCTTCATTATAATATACTAGTATCACAAAATTTCCTTTCCCCCCTAGCTTATTATATTAATTGGTCTTTGATCCTGGAAATTTTAATTAAGATTGTAGCCTATTGTGAGACAAGTTAGCTAAAATTTAGGGTCCAAACACAATTTTTTTTCCTGAATAATGCAACAGTATCTTTTAATTAAAGCTTCTGGTGAAATCTTCTTTTCCATCATAGGTTCTAGTTACCTTATATTTGATTTCTGGTCATGAAGTTGTTGGGTGACTGTCTGGGTAGTTAATGAAGGTTTATTCCTGTTTCTGCTGCCCCTTTTGCTTTCTGATGATATCATCATAAGCTTGTCAAGCTTTAAATAGTTTTCTGTCAGCTGTCTTCTAAACGAATGAAATTTCTTATGCACCTATAATGGTCCTATCTTTTCTCCATTGAGACCTGGACTGTTAGAAGTTGGAAGTGACTGGAAATGTTTCTAATGCAGATCTGCAACATGCTAAGAAAGAAACATGAGGAGGCAAAGGAAATTTTAGTCCGAGCAATTGTGACCAACAACAACCTTCTTATGCTAAACCATCCTATCTATGAACAGAAGATATCCTTTCATCTCTGCTGTTTTAGCTACTGACTTTGTGTTGACTTGCAATTCAAAAATATAATTGTACAAATACCTTAACTGTTGAAAACATCAGAATGGTTCAGAAATTTGCAATGCAGCTGAAAACAAGGGATGTTCACGCTCCAACATAATCAGCTAAAGCAGCAATTGTCATCTCTAGGTATTATCTTCTCTCTTATCTTTCTGCCTCACAGACACATGGATGCCCATCGAATGAGCTGGTCATACTCAACCAGGAGTTAAGAGGCACATGTATCTGCATATTTTACTATCTCGAGAGATTGGATTCTGCAGTAGTTTGTTTTTTAGCTGCCCTGTTAATTTTGTTGGTTTCCCAGGGTCAGCAATAACTGCTGTCCAATGTCATGTCCATAATTTGCAAACAAGTCTGTCATTGTGCTCCCCAAATTCTGGGAAATTGAATGAATTCAATATGTTGAAGGCCAAAAATGTGAAGCATGGAGTTTTGCCGCTGATCTCTGCATATTGCCATGGTTAAGGTTGTACATCCTTTTTGCAGTATTATCTGGTTGAATGATGCCCACAAGCAGAGTGATGTAAATTTTGTGATGCCTACAACTGAAATGGATTAGATAACAGCATGATTCCCTTCACTTGATTACTTATGTTGCAGTTGGTGCAGCTATGCAGTTGATTACATTTTTTTTCACCCGCATTTTCAATTTTTCTGGGTTGTTTATTTCCAATTAGGTCATCTGAGTGCAATTACTGTAAATCTTCAGCTAATCTTTTCATGAAAATATTTAGTCCTATGTACCAATTTGCCACTGCAATTTGCAATTCCCAATCTGATGGAAAATTTTTTTTTTCCCCCTTTCAATATGCTTTGTAGAATAGGGATTGAATCTTTGCTCATGGTTTTCCCAGCTACTAAAAGTAAATTGTAATGATCAACTCAGAGTACTAGGCATGTTGCTTTGGAAAAGTAGTTTTAATCACATGAACTAGCATTCGTTTCCAAAGTATGGTTATCATGAATTTTGACTTTAATAGTAACCGTAGTACTAGATGTTCATTGCTGCCTGCCCCAGGCTAGAATGGTAAATATTGCATGTCATTGGTAATTACTGCCAAAATAGAAGTTTCGGAAATTATGAATTTATTTGCTTTTGTTTATGTACATACATTATACTGTATACATTAGTTGTCCGTATTTGGTAGTCTAGTCTGCAACGGCGGGGATTAAAAAAAGCTCCGCTGTGGAAAATTCAAAGACAAAAAGGCTGGCGGGCATTTTCTCCCTCCCAGTCCTGGACGAGAGGAGAGGACCATTGGATTTGGAGTTGGAGGGCTTGTTTGAATTTTTAACTATTCGAAATCAAAACAACGACCATCTCCAAAGTCCAAACAACTTTTACATTCGATTCAACTCTCAAATTTAAAATGCAAATCCCATCTCCCCTCCAAAACAAATCCAGTTTCAGTACAAATACCCCTTCCAGTCCCCCCCTCTAATCTGTCTCTGTATGACTCTGTCTCTCTTAGCTGTTGCCTTTCTGCAAACCGCCCTCGAATACTCGCACAGAAAAACACAGACCGTGTCATAAATGGCTCTACCTTCTCTCTGTGAATTAATCAACAAAGAAAACATCCCAAAAACAGAGGTTCCTGAAGTCAATTCACATCCTTCAATTCAGAGTTTAAAAAAAAGAAGACTACTCTGTAGGAAGCCGCTCGAGGACATTACCAACATCTTTCACCCTCCATCTGAACAATCTGTTCATTTAAATCCAGCGTCAGGCACCATTTCTCCTGTTGTTTCTTGCTCTTGTTTGGCTTGTAAGGTCAATAACTCCTGTGATAATTTACAGGTTTTGATATTCCTTTCGAAGACTTCTGTGAATGGATCGAGCATTTTGAGATTAAGAAAGGGCTTTAGATAGTTTAATTTACAGGTTTTGATATTCCTCTGGAAGACTTCTGTGATAATAGCAGTTATTCAATAAATTCTTCTTGAATGAAGTTGTTCTACATAGAATTGGCATGTTACAACTGTTTTCAGTCTCGAAGTTTGTCCTTTGGTCTTGCTTCAAATTGCAAGAATCAAGATATTGTCAGTGAAAGGTGTCGTTACTTTTGAATCTGCTGACTGCAATAGGCCAATCCTCCAGATATGGGCGTTAATGAAGGTGTTTAGACCTACACTGCACCAATCGTAAACAATCATAATCACGCTTTTCTTTCAGGCGGGGAGCAACTACAAGTCTTAAACATCTCCAAGAAAAGGCGCAATGAGCACTAATGAACAATCACGCCTTTATTATTCCTGAAATGAAATAAAAGGAGGTAACACCTGAATTTTGCCCAAGTATCTCTAATCTTAAAATCTTGAAAACTAATAATTTGGCCATAGCTTTGAGAGAATGGAAAGATCATCTTTTTGTTTTCATATAGACAGCCGGGAATCCTGGAAAGGGAGTTTTCATGGTTTCATATTCATCTTTTGTTTGTTTGAGGGTAAAAGTTCTGCGTCCATTTAAACATTCACCTTTGCCGTCCTTATTCATCATTTTAAAACATCTCCATAAGCCTCCTCTTCCTGTCTTTCTCTAAAAAATGAAATCGAAGGTAGGTTTATACGTACTCAATGCGCAATTTGTGCTTCTTCAATGCTGATGAAAAATCCAATCAACTAGGCAATAAACCATTAAATTTCAACAGCCTAGCCATTAAACCATCCTGCAATACCCTAGTTGACTAGTAGATTACTTAAAAAACTGTTGATCAACAGTAATGGTTCATTTACGTCATACAATTAGTTCGTCTGACACCTAATTGGTTGTCGCCATACTATTGCTGTGGATTCATCATGATCTTTTAGATAAGTTTTTCGGCGTCGCATTCTGTACCTAAAAGCCAAGATTCACGCAACAACGACTAACATTCATTGAAGTCTAGAGGAAACGTCCAATGAAAAGAGAATTTCGTCTTGAGCAAGACCTTTATTGCCGACATCAATATGGTATGCACTTTGGCCTACTCAGATGCTGCGCTTATCAGCTAGCCATCTGCACCAGTCAAGCCAAGGCTGGGTGGCTCAAAAAGGCAGAAACTTTTTCTTATTGCTACTAAAGAAAATAAAGGAATCCTCCTTTAATTATTAAAAAAAAAATAAAAAAAAAGCTGGGATTTTGGTAGGATGATCAGCAGCAAGTGGCTCAACTGGAAACAACTCAAGGACTCGCAGTTTCTTTGGCCCCAGTTACAATTTCAATGTGGCTACTGTTCTTGGGACTCGATGCATCGGTTCTAGGTGTTCCTGTTCCTCTATTGTGGTCGTACTTTTTAGGGTTGCAGCCATGTTACACTAGGTTAACCTTCTAAAACATAATAGTAGTGTAACGTGAATGCAACATTCAATAGTGTAACAGAGGACCGAGAGCCTCGGTTCAGAGAAATCCATTAGTCTGAGGTGCTGGCAAATTTGTCCACTAGGACATCACTTGAGCTGACCCGACAAGTCTAAAGAAAAAGGAAAGTATTTTCCTACCTAGAAGGCCAAGTTAGAATAAGTAATCGTGTTCTGGGGTGACTGCTGAATTGGCCGGTGATTAACATAAGGATGCTTAACCAATGATATCACATCAGCTGCATCAGCGATAAAAAAAGAACGGATCATTCTTGTAGCTTTCACCTTTGCACCCAGCCAACAGCCGCCAATCCGCAGCTTTTTGTGCCGCAGCATCTCAAATCCAACTTGTCCTTTTCTTATCTGAGAGGGTAGGATATACCTATGAATCAAATTGCTGACTAAGGATTTACTTCAGTTTGACTCATCCATGACCCGGAATTTCGTCAAGGCCACATCAGTCATTGAGCATCACTGGAAATTCATTCGTTCTGTGTCAACTACAATTCGAGGGCTTTCAAAGTAGTAGTATAAGATATGAACTTTACATGTAAGGACAGATGGACCTGCTTTTTGAATCAGTTTCTTTTTTAGAAATTTGAGGAGGAAAAAATTGTGACATAAATGGGATTGCAATATATATAACGGAACCCCGATTCTTTGAATCATTTACCTAATCTTCAATCAGTTGCAAAGCTGCTTGTGTTAACTAGCCACTTAAATCTCCAAAGAGCTATTACAGCTGCTTGTTAACTAAATCAAATGGCTAACATGAAATTTCTTTTCTGCCTTATCCTACTAGTTCTTTCATCAGAAACTGCACATGCTCGGCCTTTGAAGCAAATTAGTATTGCTAGAATAGCATTGGAGGCACAATTTGCAGCTGTGAAGATAAGTGGAAACAACAATGACTGGCCTGACAGAGTGGCTCCAGCAGGACCTGATCCACATCATCATTTTGACAATCATAATTGAGTAGAAAACGATTGTGCTGTCACTTTGTTCTTCATCTTAGCCAATCATTCTAGACTTTTTTCTTTTTCTTTTTCTCTCGTTCTAATCGGTTTTATGGTTGTTACACTTGACATTAACCATTTGAACGGGACGTGGTTTTTAGAATTAGGGGAAAATATGGATATAAGAAAGAGTAGATGAACAGTAATGTTGTTCATTGTGCAATCAATGTTTGTATCCACTATCAATCACGTAATTATGGAATTTGAGATTTGATTCTCAAATCCTCCTCTTTCTATCTTCTGTTAGTAAGGTTTAAGAGTCTTGGATAAAATAAATAAGGGTATACATGCATTCTAAAGAGCTTTTTCATCGTGCATGGGTCATATTTTGAGCCTTATGGAGCCTTTTTAATGTGTATTAAGTGTCCTTTTATATCCTCCTCTGGCAGTATCAACCGTAACCTATCAATTGTTGATGAAGAAAGCTTTTGAAATTGTTGCAACAGACAATATGAGACTTATTTTTTTAAAGATTGCTTGAAATGGTTACTTCTTTCCGATTCCTTCCGCCTTGGTTATAGGAGGCTGGAATGAGCCATCAAAATGTTTTGTTCTCCGAGTATAGAGTTCATGGAAGACGTAATATTATCTAGTTACGATCATTGATATGCTTTTGCACCTAAGATGTGGCCTCTAAATCCTGGCCCAACTACATCTTATGCCACTATTTTTTTTCCCAACATACAACTAATCAACTCCATAAGCTATTATTAAAAGGGAGTTGAATTGAATGATAAGATGAAAGAATTGTAATTAAGAGATTCTGGGTTTAAAATCGCTCACTTATAAATAAAAATAATTATAAAGCCACAATGAGGGAGAAAAAGAAAAACTCCGTATGCTATTATCTATGATCCATCAAGATCCCAACTGAGGCCGATTTTCCAATTTCTCTTGGTTCCTTCAACTCTACGCCAAGCCACCATTTCCCCTTTCACGTCTTGAATCACTCTTTGGATGACAAAATTACACGGCCAATATTTGTGCTGTAGTTCCTAGCTTTCCAAATGCGATAAATAGTAGTCGAAAAATATAACGTGCATACTTGATCAACGAATGAGCTGCTGCTATAATAGAACACAACCAATGC